GCCATTACTAATTTTAGCCTTGTCTTAAGCATTATTATAGTATCTGTGAAACCAGGGCTCTCCTCACCTGACTTCTCTTTATTGGACTATTTTCTCGGTATCTCTTGTGTTTACTCAAGGTCCTTTTCTAGCATTCTACTCTTATCCTATCTAAATGTCAACCAAATCTTGATTTCTCAAGATGATCAATTAAAAAGAAAAACAAAATCAGTCCCGTACAAGCTATTTGTCTCGAACTACCAATACCCAGTCAGGTATCAAATTGATTTTGCATCTATCATTGCCCACACCAAAGATGCTTAAAGGAAATTGGGCGTGAACACAGTTTCAGTTATTTACAAAACTTACCAATGACTATTTTTCCATCTATTTTCTCTAAGATAAAGCGAGCTTGATTGTTCAGTTTAGCAGATTCGGCACCAAGCATTCCTAGAAGCCATTCTTTTCGTAATCCATAGTATTTAAGCCTGAGTTCAAAGAAGTCTCTTAAAATATCTAATGGTGTGTCATATTTTTTTAAACAACCTACGTGGTCAAAAAGCACCTAGAAAAGGAAAACAAGATTGAAGCCAGGAACAGATGAAGCATTAGTAAAAGGCTTCAGAGGAATGACTTTATTCAGTGAAAATACTAAGAGTGTCCTAAGAGATCATTTTAAAAATGGATCTTAACCTTTAATATAAATGAAAACATATCTTTCTCTCATAATACATACCATCGAGTTGCATGTGAGACTAGTTTGGAGCTTGAAGATTTTGTGTAATCCAGCTCTTTCTGCCTCTGCTAACTTTTCTTCAGTCATCTTGACAACAAATTTCACAGTGGTATCAGTATGGTATTCTCGATAGTCTGTTATGAGAGGTGGCGTCTTCTCAGTACCATTCAACATGGGCTCTAGAACCTGTTCTTTATATGTCTAAAGCCAAGAGAGAATTCTTCGGTAAAATTCTAACATAGGCTCCTGGATATTTAATAAGCAGTATAAAATGTGCCATCCTAGTCACCCCCCATCTCCAGCAAAAAGTAATAAATAAATGCTTATTTACCTGGGTCCATGTTCTGATGGGAAGCTCAGAGATCTCAATGGTTGTGGAATTAAGAATAGCAACTTCACCGCTAATCACATATTGATTCGAAGCCAATTCTTCAATAGTTCCCTTGAAATTCTTGTAACTTGGAAGCTAAATTGACATTTAAAAGAAAGTTTTCTAAATATGATGTTGAAGACAAAACACAGCAGCATTAATGGAATCTAATATTACAGTACAAAACGAACATGACATTTGTGTCTCCCTTGAAAACCAAAAGGAAACTAGGGCTCCTACGGCACTCAAGATAGTTACCATTGGCAGTGGTTCTTCTCCATCCATCAACCGCCTGATGTTATTCACAACTTCACGCACATCAAAGTTAGGGATTTTGCAGGACCATCCAGTACCGATTCCTTCAGCACCATTTATTAAGACCATAGGTATAATAGGAATGTACCATTCAGGCTCAACACGTTGGTTGTCATCATATAAGAACTTTAACGTGTAATCATCCTTTGTTGGAAATAGCAACCGAGCCAAAGGGCTAAATAAAACAGTAACAGACGTTATTTTACAAAAATATTGGCTGACATTTAACTTTTGAGGATAGTCTTTGTTTTCTTATACCTATACATGGAAATTACCTTAGCTTTACTTGATGATTAATATGCTTTCAGTAATTTTGAATACTTTCTATGTGCCAGCCACTGGCATAAGAGTGATTGAGGGAATGCTAAGAGGCAGGCACTTTCTGATAGCAACACTTGAGCCGAGAGACATGGCAAGAATGAGCCAAGTGAACACTAGAAGCAAGGGTGTTAGAAGCAAAGGTCCAGTAAGTAAAAGACCCTGAAGTGGAAGTATTCATAATATGAGGACAGCGTTTAGCATTGTGGTTACGTGCTAGGCTAACTTGGAAGTCAGCAGTTTGAAACCACCAGCCACTATTCAGGAGAAAAATGAGGCTTTCTATTCCTGTAAAGCGTTAGTCTCAGAAACTCACAGAGGCAGTTGTATCCCATCCTATAGGGTTTCTTTTTATTTTATTTTAAAAATCATTTTATTGGGGGCTTATACAACTCTTATCACAATCCATACATACATCCATTGTGTCAATCACATTTGTTTCCATCATCATTTGCAAAACATTAGCTTTGTTTGAGCCCTTGTTATCAGCTCATTTTTGTCCCCTCCCTCCCCCCTCCCTC